TTGTTGTACTGCTCATATTTATTAATCTAACAGAAAGAGAAAAGTGTTTGAAGCTATGCTAGCCTTCGAAGCGCAAATATCGGGTAGACTTTTACTTTTCCAAGGCTTTTAGCCATAGTCTTGTTGAGTAGGACTAGGATATTGAAATATGTGATAGTTTTGTATTTGAGTATCGTTGGAAGTTAATCAAATATGCAGATAAATAATGAAGAGAACTTCATGTATACAAATGTCAAAATCTTGAAGTCTTGGGATAGAGTAGGGTAAAGGATATGGACAAATCTTACTCTGTAAGATTCTGACCCAAACTCTAAGTAATGTTTTTAAAGCTGATGATGACCCTACTGAATTAAAAATGGTCAAAAATTCCTATTTTTAAAATTATATTAAACTGCATTATTTTGATTTATTAATTTACTATAATATTGTTATTATTCAAGGTTTTTCTTTTAAAAATACTTGTTTTTCTGTTTATTTTCTATTTCTTTTTTTGTTGTCATAGGACTATATTTATGAAACAAAGTATCCTATTTTCAAGAAGACAAAAAACAAATAAGACTTATTTTTGATTGTGTATGTTATCATTTTATTCTAATTATTAATGAATTTCTTTTCTCTATAAATGAAACTGTGAAACATGAACAAGTCGATTCCCTAGACGAACTTCTTTTGGTCTGCGCAGGAGATACTTGAGAATCTTGATAAAGAAAGTCATGCGCTATGGACAAATCTTGAGGCAAGACTTGAGCCCTTTCGGCGAGCTCAAGCTCTTGAACTTCTTATTCTATCGCTTGATATTCTTGCTCATTCGCTTGATATTCTTGCACATGCGCTTGAATTCTTATGCAAGCGTTTCTGTTATTCAAGAATTTCTTATATTTTTTTTGCAATTTTACGCTCAAAATATCTCAACTTTTAATAAAAATTCATAGGTATATTTTCATGCAACACTCAAGCGTTTGTCTTGAGCAAGAAAGTCATGCGCTATGGACAAAACTTGAGGTCTGCGCAGATCAAGTGCATGAAAAAAAAACTTCGTCTAGCGTTATAACCAATCTTCTTTACTACGATGTATTCATGTAAGTGTTATCGAAAAAAAGATTGTTTTCGTACGTTGTGATCATTCATCTTATTTGGAAAACCTTGAAAGATTTATCGATGTTATTTGAACTAGTTCATCTGCTAGATAAACAATATTCTGCAGATCAATTGAAGATTGTTTCTATTTATATTTCGAACGAATAATATCGATCATCATTACGGTTCATAATTCATTCCGTAATTCATATTTACACTCACATTTTTGATGAAGTTTAGCTTCGAGTTAAATAAATTGTATTATAATGAGAAAAGTTTGCAAAATAAAAAGTTTTAAATAATAATATAAAAAATATGTGATGTTTTCTTCTTTTGTTTAAGCATAAAATCAATTACTCGGCAACATTGATTAAAGAAATTACTATAAGGTTATTTGAAGCTTCGATATGATTTAACTAATTGTAAAACAGTGTCATCTGTCGCTATTTTGAAAGATGAAGCTTAATATGTGATATCCAATAGAATATTCTTCAAACAGCTGCCTAAATATCTAAATCTAAATTTTGTGCTTGTTTTCATCATGAAAGACTTCTGACTTTTAGGTCGTCAAATAGACTTTCACTAAAATGAAAAGAAAAACAATATAGTGCTTATCTAGTTGCTTTTTTAAGATCTAATTCTGAGCACTTCAATGATGCAGGCATTATCCTTATCAATCAGTCTTTACTTAATGATTTACAATCTAATGGTATCGGTATGAGTGATTCTGTTTATCATCCGATGTTAAATAGAACTTTAAGTTAATGATGCTGCAATTATTATAGCATTGATTAATGCTATGAATGAGAATAGAATCGACAATTAAACAACAGAAACAAACGAATGATAAATTACATGTTTAGCAAAGTCTTCTGAAATACAGTCCAACTTCGCCACAATCAGCGAGAGATCAAAAATTAGTCGATACGAAAAACAATTGAGAAAATAATAACAAAAGAACAGAAGCTTTCAACTATATGAAAGAAGTGTGAATGTAAATGTGGATGCAAGAAAGTCCACACAGACACCCACAAATACAGCCACAACTTTTTTTTTCATTAAGTTGAAAGCTTTTGTTTCCTATCTATAGTCTGTCCAAGTGAATCTTGCACGGAGTGAGGGACACAAATATGAGTATTTCTTTATTGTGAGTATTGGGTGCCTATTATGGTCTAACAAGCAGTGATGACCTCACTGGATTGAGTAACATATGTTTTGTTACTCAGACGCAGAGTGAGAAAAACATGATCTTGTGAATTGCGTTATCATAAACAATTACGAGAGACATTAAAAAGAGAATGAACTAATCGTTTATACTTAAAAAACCTAAGTGTTAGACAGCAGCAACAGTACTTGGTGTAACAACTAGTAACATAAAATCATGAGAACATGTATTCATTTACTTCGGATTAAAAAATTTGAATTAATAAATCGCTGGAAACGAGACAAAGATCACTCTATATAGTCGAAAAACGATCATAACTAATACTTACACGTTGAAAAAAAGAAACTGAAAAATCTTACAATAATAAAGATTTTTTGGTTGCTCCCAACGCAGTCAAAATTAGAGAAGTTTTACTGTATTAGACGAAGAACTCGATTATGAAGTTGAAAATAATATTTATTTTAAAATATAGAATGCGCAAAATATCGAAGATCGATACAGCAAAGTATACAACAATAATAACATAAAGTGAAAAAGAAAAGATTAAAACTCGATAATTTTTAAGCATATAAAAGACAAAAAGAAACTTTAACAAATAATAATATTTATACAATTATTCTAGATGGGTTTACAATTTGGAAGATTAATTGGTGTTGATTTAGCTATTCAATTTATTGGTTGGATTATTTCAGTCAAATTTAGAACTGAAAAGTATTATGATTTAACAGGTAACAAATTTTACATTGAATTGATTTACTTAAATATTGTATATTCAGGTTCTTTAACATTTATTTTATTAACTTATTTAAGTCGAAATAGAACTCATCAAACTCTTCGACAAAAAATTCAATCTTCTTGTGTTTTTATTTGGGCATTAAGGTAATATTTAAAGATTTCAATAACAAATGCTTGAACCAAATGTTAATTTATTGTGGTAAGACTCACATTGACTGATAGAGGAACTTTTTCATATCGAAAACTATTTAATAGTAAATGCTATATTCATGTTATTGCAAGAATTGATAATCAAATGTAAATGTCTTTGCCTGTCATAATCGGTATCACGTATTCTCTATATTTTCGTTGTATCTCTGATCGTATCTTGTATGAGATCTAAACTGAATTCAAGTATTTCTTATCTGAAAAATATTTATGACAATTGTCTGTTGTTCTTTTCTATATAACATTTTTTTTCTTGTATTTTTTAATATATAGATTAGGTACTTTTCTATTCTATCGAATGTTAAAAGTTGGTAAAGATTCACGATTTGATCGTATGCGTAATTCACCATCGAAATTATTTGTAGTTTGGATGATGCAAGGTTAGAAAACTTAAATCTAAATTAATTAATATAACAATTAGGTATTTCACAAAGGTCTTTGGGTAATACTTACACTTTTACCAACACTTTATCTTAATCAAAAACAAGTTGATAAACCATTAACAAAAACAGATTATATTGGTTGGGGTTTGTGGTTATTTGGTTTTCTATTTGAAGTTATAGCTGATCAACAAAAAATGACATTTAAAAATAATTCAAATAATAAAGTATATTAACTAATAACTATTTTAATTAAAAAAAGAAAATTCTTTTGTATTCGTTTAGGGAAATTTTATTAATACTGGTCTTTGGAAATATTCAAGACATCCGAATTATTTTGGTGAAATATGTTCATGGCTTGGTCTTTATATATCATCATCACATATGCTTGTTGGATATGAAAGATTTATTGGCATACTTTCACCTATATTTGTAACATGTTTACTTTCATTTGTAAGTGGAATTCCAATATTAGAAAGAAAAGCAATGAAATTATTTGGAAATAATCCTGCTTATAATACATATAGAAATCGAACACCAATCCTTATTCCATTTATTAATTTTCCTCGTATCTAAAATAAGAGATGAAAAATAAGCATTGCTTGATATTTTTTTGTAATTAATTTCTGATAGATAGTAAAATCTGTCATTGTTTGATTAAATTCATAAAGTAACGGGTGTGTTTTTCATGTTCTTTGATTATTATTATTTGCCAAGGGAAAATCTACGATTAATTTTTCGAAGATTAATTTGAATAGACTTTTGTTGTTAATGAATTGAATATTGAGTTTCAAATAACAATCAAAAAAATAATATTTGTTTATTGTCTGGTACTATAGTGCTTTAGTCTCAAAACTCAGATGGGCAACTGATTCATTTAATCATTTCTTTTGAAACGATTTTTTATTATTTGACTAACATATACAAAAAAAGCTGTGGCATAAACTTTTCAAATTTATATATTTGAAATCGTTGACAACAGATTATACAGAAAAGTAATACGGTTCATGTCTACATTATTAATGATCATTTTCGTTGCATTAGTTTTACATTTGAGTTCTAATTAATGAATGTTAAACTCGAATAAACGAAACAAAATACAGACAGTTAATTTGATGTATATATATACAAAAGCTTTTGACTTTTTTCAAAACTATACATTGACGACTTTTGTTCGAAAATAGCAAGCCAAAAATATGACTTTCTTTAAAACGAATCATATATATGAGAACTGACATTGATATCTATTTGTTTTGGGAAATTGTTAACATACTCATGTTTCTATACAAATCTTTCCATGTTAATTGGTAAATACTTGAGATAATTGGCAAAGAACACTGTTTACTATATATATACAAATACAAACTTCAATCGATAAGCACAACCTATAGTTATCATATTTGAAAATGTATCGTGTATCGGCATACTTTTCTTTCATGATGTGCTTACAAATTAGTGTTTTTGCTGAACTAAGTCCTAGTTCATGTTCTTTTATTCGTACAGCAACTAGTATCAGTACAATTGTACCTGAAATTGCTCAAATAGCAATGCGTTATTATCGTGCTTCATCATCATCATCCGATCAACATCATCGTCAAAAACGTTTTCTTTTTGTTGGCAGTAATGCATCAAAAGATACTAGTACTAGTGGTGTTAAAGCATCTGTACTCGAACAAGTTATGGTTAATGCATTTAAAGATGTTAATTTTACTAATGTAGCTTTATTAATTCTTAATAATAATGAAACAATGAAAAAAATTCGACGAAATACTAATGGTAAAGCTATTGTTCATACTGCTATGCGTAGTATTGATTATGAAAAACTAGGTAGTAGTATATGGCATGCTGTCGAAAGTGAATTTGATTTAGAATATTTGTTTTCTAATCTAATTAATATAACTCATATTGATATGATACATAAAGAACTTCTTAATAAAGGTACTTTACCTGATTGGCTTATTAAAAGTATTCATCCAGATATAAATGTTCAAGCTGTTCATCGAATGTTTGAAGATATAAAAAATTTCACACGTAAATTTATAATCATAATGAATAGTTCTGAAAGTCTAGATGATTATTTATTTAATATGGTACAACAGCAGGTATTAACACCATTAGAAAAAGTTATTCAAAAATTAAAAGATGAAAAACCAACAACACTTGATCAATTAGTTGAAATTATTTTAAATAATGTCAATAAAATTATTATGGTAAGAAGCTTCTTTTTTTTTGAAAAAATGAATTTCTTATAATTTTTTTAGGAACGATTAACAACGACAACTAAGAAAACTAAACAAGATCCATCTGCAACAACAATAACAATGGCAACATCAGAAGATAATAGTTTTGATGATATCAAGTTGTTATTTTATCAATGTTCAATTGCAATTGAATCAATAGGACAAACAGCTCAAGCTATGTTAAAAGCCATTGAACAACTCTATTGTACATCTATATGGGATTGAGAAATGTTTTATTAGAATTAACTACATACTATAAGCAAGACTGCTTTCCTTTTCTTTTGTTTGTATTCTATCTATGTCTGTAAAATTAGAGATTGTAAATTAATATTTCAATAAAATATTCTTTACTTAAGAATTACATACTCGACTTTCAAGTCAAGTTTACTCTATGGTATATCGATTGATAGATTTTGCTTAATCTTCATTACCTGGTTTGCATAGAGTGTTTAATAAAATCAACCTTCGGCTGCACACTTTAGGAGGTAAGCGGATGATTTCTCGATTTTGAAAAAATATTCGTTTTTCTCCAGTGGAGTTTCAGCGTTTCATTATTGATATTTTTATAGTTCGTCAATGCCCAGAAAAACGTGCTGCCCACTTCCCGTGAATTCGGCCAACTCGTAACAAAATGAGTCTTTGACTCCTCTCCGTCTCAATCCTGATAGTCTCGAGACATTTCAAGTTTCATGAATAGGCATAGCAGTTATTTGACATTTATCATGATTGACGCACCTGATGGATGACCTAATTGAAATTCAAATATTATTCTATGACAAAGTCGGTTGTTTATGACTTCATCATTTTCAAATCTGTCGTTAATGTCAACATTAGCAATAATTCTTCATTTATCTTAGTAAAACTACAATATCATTGGTCTTAGAATGTTGAGAAGCTTTTTTTCTTTGACATTTGTGGATTATTCGATCATATATATATAGGGTGTCCGGAAAATCATTTACCAAAATGTTTTGCATATGTCGTAGCTTCTTCATTGAACATTATCAATAATTTTTATTTTAAATTATAGGCGAATATACCAAGTTTTTATTTATACGAGCAATTTTCAATGCTATTCTGCAAAACTATTACCTTTGCTCGAAATACAAAAGTTTTGCTATTTTTGTGAGATGTGAGTAATTCAAAATTTGATAATGATTTTTTCTTTGACATTTTCGTGTGGTTAGATAGAGCTTGTGGAGTTCTACAAGAATATGTATATTGAAAACTTTTTACACCTTCTCTTTGAAGCAAAATTTACAGAGAGCTACTAAAGAACGACTAAATAGTTAAAAACAAAGACATTGCATAATGTTCTACTTGCATCTCACAAAAATAGCAAAATTTTTGTATTTCGAGGAAAGGTAAGAGTTTTGCAGAATAGTATCGAAAGTCGCTCATATAAATAAAAACTCGGTATATTCAACTATAATATGAAAAAATATTTGTTGATAATGTTAAATGAAACAGCTAAGATACATATTGGTAGATGATTTTTCGGGCACCCTGTATGTGCCTTCACGAATTAAAACGAGAATTTTTCGATCGTTAATTTACATATCCATATTGATCCTATTTTCATGGATTTCTATTTTGTTACTTTTTTGGTAAACATATTCACTTCATCTGTATTGATATATTTCCCCATGACAATGAAATAAATTTTATCACATTATCTCAAATGATTGATCTTGTCTTAAATTTTAAAAAAATCAAATTTAATTGCTTTCTTCATCTTTAAAATCTTCTAATACTATTTAGATATTATTATTTTCCATGGATCAGTAATAATAACTAAAGTCAACATTCGTAATAGTTCGGTTTTATTCCGAAAGTGCAACCACCACACACACATATTTATATATTTATATATATATATATCTGTCTAACTCTAATTAGATACTTTTTTTTCCTCAGACTGTCTCAAACAGATAGAGAAATTTATACATATAGATAAAGCTTGCACAAAAGAAAGAAAAAACAAACGTCAACAAAATTTTTTGCAACATAGAGTACGAGTTAGAAAAAAGAACAATTTGTGATTGTATGAGAAAGAACCAAACAAACAAAGATGAACATATGCGTACACATACACAAAGAAAAATATAGACATATGAATGGCAAAAAAAACAAGAGCAAAATATATGTACAAGGAACAAGTCTAGTACCAATATATATATATATATATATATATCGAGTAGAATTTGTCAATGAAGAGAAATAAGGCTAATAAAGTTTAAACACAGGGATTATGGAATAGGATATCTCTCATCTTTGTAGGTTCACTGAAAAAAAAACACTAAAATAAAGATGAAGAGAAGACGAGCACAAGAAGGAATTACTGGTATTTTTTTATAAGTGTTTACAAAAAATTTTTTATCATTTTTTTCCATATTTTAAATTTTTATATATTTTTTCAGATGTTTGTAATTATAAGGAAAGACCAACACAAAAAAAAAACAGAAAAGATGAACACAGGAAAAGAAAGACATTGAATGATACGTTGCTGAGCCGAAAAAAGTAAGATGAGAAAAAAAATAATAATAAATATAAAGAAACAAGAAAAGATATTTGACTGAATTTCATCATCATCATCAATATTATCTATATCATTACCGCTTTATTCTTGAGCATTTCGATGATCATCATCAATAGTTCTATAATAACAAAAATAAATTTCATTTACAAAAAGAGGAACAAGAAATTTTCATTTACTTCGAATGACTCGATCGCTGCAATTGTGGTCGATGAGGTAAATTATGTGGTGAAAAAAATTGTTGTTGATAAGGTATATGATATGAATATTTTAGTAAATTTTCATTAGGATATTGTACTAAGGGTTTATCCATTGGAGTATAACTAAAAAATGAATTTTATCAAGTATAATCTAAAAGGAGTTTTGAAATAAAGGGATAGAAATTTGGACTGCCTCGACAGAATGTTAGCCAGAGATATGCAAGATAGGGTAGAATAAGGGTGAGTAAGTCGCAGATCAGATTAGAACATGAGTGAGGAAATTTTTCTCAGTCAGAGTAGAGGATGCGTAAAAAGCTTTCTTAGTACGTCTCTAATGCTAGTCAAAGATCATCATAGATTGTGATAGACGTTATTCAGAGATTATCACAGATCGAAACAGACGTCGATTAGAGCTGCAAAGAGCTATCTTACCTTATCCTGCAGTGCAGATTATGAATAAAATAAAGGAATTTTTTCTCAGTCAAAGTAAAGGATGTGAAAAAGTTTACTCTGTACATCTCTCTAAGGTCATTGCAGTCTGTATATCAAAAACGTCTTGCTATAATATCTGAACTAGTTTCTTATTGTATTTCTGAGAAAGGATAGTGAAGAAATGTGTCCCAAAATAGATAGAGTAAAACAATTTCCCAATGATTAACAAAAGCAACTATATTATGTTTTACATATTAAGCCCGCAAGAATTGAGGAAACAGATTTTTTTAAACAAATAAACAATTCAAAACAAATCTTAACATACTTCAATCGACCATATTGAATATATTTGACTGTTCGTTGTTCATTTAGATAATCACGATAGATGGTACGTAATTTTTTTCGATATGACAATGTGTTTTCACTAACAGTAATAATTTTTGAAAGAATACTAAAAATTTTATTTTTTAATTTAAGACAGAAAAAAAAAAGCAAAACTTAATAAACATACGATGGTGCATTTTTTAATGTTGTATTTTGATCAGAAACACTTTGTAATAATTTATCATATGCTTCACGAAATGCTGAATTTAATTTTGGTGTTAACCATGAAGCTTTACTTATATCATTTTCTATTTTTCAAAAATTGAATTGCAAAAATAAACAAAAAAGATTTTCTAAAAATTTTATCTACATACTGTCATTAAATGGATCAACAATACATAAATTATTTATTGTTCGATGTCCACAACAAAAATTTTTAAATAATTCTTCTTTATCAATAAAACCAGCTGGACGATCTGGTTGATGGGGTGTTTGTACACGTATACCATATTTCGCATAATCAAAATAAAGACCATATAATTCAAGAAAACTAATTAGCATATGTCCAAGATTAACATGTTCAATTGTATTATTTATTGTATGATTATTATTATCATTATTATTATTATTATTATGAAAATGATCATCATCAATATCACTATGATTATTACTAGAACTATTATTATCATCGGATGATATACATGAAGCAGCAGATGATGATGGATAAGATGTTGATGATGAAAAATCATCTGTTGTACCAGTTGTACTATTCGTTTTTATAGATGATGATGATGATGTTGATGTAGTTTTCATTGTTACTGTTGAAGATGTTGATAAACCAGATAAAAATGATGAAGATAAGAATGGTGACAAAAGTGAACATTGATCTTTTTTATAATAAGTCTATTTTTGAAATATGTATATATAAAAGAATAATATTGACTTATTATTTTTTTTATTTACCTGGAAAAAACAGACTAACATGAGAATAAGTGAATAACTACTAATACCACCAGTCCAAACCTCATTGAGATTAAGTTGAAGTAAATACTGTTTTAACACATAGACAAGATATTTCAAATATGGATAATCTTTCATATAACGCTAGAAAACAAAGAATTCTTCATTATTTACATGTGGTTATATAGAATTGTATGTCGATCTTTCATGCCCTAGACTTGAACAAACCTTTCAGATTCAACTTTTAAAACACTATAACAAATTTTATCTAATAAAACAAGCTCTTCATTGATTAATCATGTGAGAGTTTAGGTTACGCAGTTTTTTAAGTTGATGACAAAGTTTTCATCAGAAATACTAGGAAAATTCGTTTTTCGACTTGAAACTGTGCAGAAACAAATCTTAACAAGAAGATATTATTGTGAAAGTATCACACATTTTTGATTTCATCCTCTTCGGAAATCAGAGATATCTTAGGATAGGAACAACAAAATGATCTGAAACTTTCACAATAAACTATTATCTGTAAGGTCAGTCTCTATGATAAATTTCAAATTAAAATTCAAAAATGAGTTTTCCTGATGCTCCTGAGGGAAACCACAGCATTGACTTAAAAATACAATATCTCAGCAGCAATAACTTAAAGACATGCACTCTCTTTTCAAAATATTCATAGTTCATTAAAATCTATATAAATTACATAGTCTCAAATCATGAAAAGTTGATCAGCTGTAGTTTTTTTTCTCGTAATATGATCATTCTTGATACTAAAAATACATCAACAAATCTTTGTTTTTATTATTACACTACCCTAGTCGAATTTTTTTCTTGCAAGCTCATGAAGTATTTGAGTATCTTGATCATAAAAGTTATGAATAAGTAGAAAAACTTTTTCAAACATTCAAATGTTTATCTATGGTAAGAAAATTCGACTTGAGAATGTGTTAAATTAATATTTTTCTAAAATAAAACTTTTTATATTATTGAATACATACAAGAACAAGTTGTGCACTTCTAAGTCCATTATTCATATTAAAACTCATATCAACTTTAACATCAGTTTTACGATCAGTTAATTTAATAATTGGTATTGTTGCACCATTTAATATTTGAATACCTTCTTGATTACAAAGACGATGACGACAAAATGCTTCGCGTAAAACTAACATTAATGCTTCTAATTCTTCTGGTGTCCATTGACGACCATCTTTTGAATGAACAATTAGATCAATATCACTTAAACACAAAATCAAAATTATTCTTTTAAAATATAGAAAAAAAAAAAATTCTTTTAACAAACCTCATTGGTAAATACAATCCAGTTTTATAACTTCCATAAATATCAACCTAAATCAAAATAATTTTGTCTTATTTTTCAAAAATTTTTTGTTTTTATTTCCTTCTTTCTTACAGAAGCTGTAGGCAAATATTGATTAATTACATTAGTTATACGATTAACAACTTGTTGTCGTACAGCATGTTCTTCTTCTGTTGGAATCATAAATTGATAAAATTGTAAAATTTCATAATGAAGACGATAAAGACGAACAGACATAAATGGTGGTGCACTAAAAGAAAAACAAAACAAAAATAAATTGTGAATTTTATTCAAAAAAAAGAAATAATTCTTCATTATACGAACGTCATTAAATCAAAAAGTTCAACAGGAATTTGTGTATGTCTCCATGGTGGACATAGAGATCGTTGATCTAATTGAATTGGTGTACGTCGTAAAAGAAAACGATCATGTAAATAAACAGTACTTCTATCATGCATTATTGTTTCTTTAATTTAATTGGACAATGATTAATTACTATGTAGAATAATAGTGTTCCAATAATTTATTTTAAATATTAATGCTAGAAAAAAAAAATCAAATCAACCATTTTTTATAAGATACTTCATATTGTGTATAAAAATATCTTTTACGGAAAGTGACATAAGAAAAAGAACTATATATATATATATGGTTGTATGTATCGTGTGAAAGAGTTCTTCGTATATACACAATAATAACGATAATTGTTTGTAAGCAACCGCATGTATGTATAGATATGTCTATATAAAGAAAAAAAGATTTTTCTGGAGAAAACACGTGTTAAGATGAATGTAGGTTGGTTGGTTAGTTGAATTCAGTAGATATTTAATTTGATTGGTTAAAAAATTAATCAATTAAAACTAGAGCGTAACTATCAAGGAGAAAAATGAAAATATTTTATATTTGAAAAGAAAAAGTTATTTTATAAAAGTTTTAATATTTTTCTTGATTTTAATTATATAAAAGATTAAATGAATTGATTTTAGTTTTTGAAAATCAAGTTTTGAATGATATATAGCTTTTGGCAAAAATTGATGGTAACTTTTCGACTTTTATAGAAAGAACAGTAAAAAGAAGAATAATAAATACAAGCAAATACAAAATTCGTCGCTTTAGAAACATACTTTTTTTTTTTTATAATTTTTGTTTTTTCTTTTGAAAAGAAAAATAAAATTTATTTTTTTTAATATAGTACATTTCTATCGTAAAAATGTCAAGGTCAATGATAACTTTATGATAAATCTATTTTTGATTTGATAAGGATGATTGTGGTTGATATCATTTTATAACTCAATTAATGATTGTTATAAAGAGAAATTAATATTATTTATCAATCAATTCTATTTTTTGATATTACAATAAATTTTTTAACACTATCAATTTGTGTATAGTTGACTTGTATGCATACAATTGACGTGTTTTATATATTGAATCTAGAACAATATTTTAGAGATAAAAAGCTTAATGATTTTAAATATCTACTTTAGCATTTATAAGACATACTCAACACGGCTAAAAAGTTTATCAAATTTTAAGAATTGCAAATAGCTGTTTAAAATTTTGTTTTGTTTTTATAAAACCGAAAACGTAAAAGTGTTTTTATAAACAGTTTGTTTGTCTTATATGTTTTGTAAGAAATATAATTTATATTATAAAAAGAATCTGAATTTTTTCAAAAAAAAAACAGAAACCTTTTCTTCTGTAAACGAAGAAATGAATACAATCCTTAATCAACTATTAACTTTAGTTGATCAATTCCGAATTAGTTCAAGCAAGTCAAAAACAGATTATAACTCGTAATTATCTAATTTTTCTTTTGTAAACAAAGCCCATAAAACTCCTATTACGATAAATACAATCGATATGAAACCTAAGACAAAAAAAACAGAAGTTTTTAATATGTCAGATATTTGTCTATCATTATATCAACTTGTCTTTGATTTTAACCAATCCACTTATACTCACGAAGTATTGCCATCATTATTTGCAAGTCGACACGCCTCAAATAGTTAAAGAAAGAAAAAAAAACGATGTAAAATATGTCCGTTGAAAAAAAAACACAGAAGCAAAGCAGAAAAATCAAAGTAACATGGAAACTGTTTAACTTTTTCTTTTTTAACATCATCTCTGTTTGCTGACATACATACGTACACAAAAACAGTAACAGTATGTCGCATGTTGCACACGAAGCTTGTGGTGTAGATGTGTTTCTATGTTTTAATCCTCAATCGAATCAATGTTCATCCGTAGCAACAATTATTAAACAACGATGTTCAAAGTAATAATCGAATAGATTTTTTAATGATGTTAATTTAATTATTTTTAAGGAGAGAAATTATTTATCAGGCATCGGATAATATTGATTTTACAATAAATTGGTATGAATCCATACCAGTTCAAATTCTTCGTTCAAAAATATTTATACCAATTATTGATGAGCAATGGTATTCATCATTTTGGTGTTCATGGATGCTTTTATTTGCTCTTGTATGTAATCAAAACAATTTCTATCATACAATCTAATATGAGTTATTTGATTGAAGGAACATCAAAATCGTTATAGTCTTCCATTAATTATGCCTGTGATTTTACCATCGTATGGTGAACGAGCATCAGAAGTACTTATTGCACAATTAACAAAAAATTATAAAGCAACCGTCATGCTTAGTGACGTAAGTGAATTTAGCTCAGTGTTTGAAACTATTTGTATTTAAAAGAAAAATTTTATCTTCTAAAATTCTCAGTTGGTATAGATATATTTTTGACACAACATATTGCTATACTTTACTGTTCCGGACTTCATGAGGGTGGAAAGCTTACTATGGTTCTGAATTGGATTGTGATAGACTAGCATATGTCTCTTATGCTAGTACGTATCATGAATCTTCTGCTTTTATTATGGTGCGACAATATTTTTTGTGTTATGTTCTCATGTACTTTTCTTTCTTTGACCAGAGTCACTTTTCATGTTCAGAACACATTGTTCTTAAATGGACTTCCTGGTCCTGAGGCTTTAATAATATTAATTTTTTGACACATTATATAAAAAATGCAAATTAAAGACTGACTATATAGTTGATAAGAAAATCATGAACATTTTCTTTACTATTGACATTTTATCTAGCGAGTAACCAGATGGAAACTTAGACTTCTCCCCTATAACAACGGTCACGTACCGTTTACAAAGGAGCTCGAGTCTCCAGAAATGTCTATATGCGCAGCAAGCTCGATGCAAGATAACCAATATCAATACAGTTAATAAATAGCTTCTCGATGATTTGTATTATAGAGATGAGCAAAATAAATATAACCTAAGAGATGTTTGTTGTATAACTATAATGCTCAGACTGAAATACGACTTCACAATTCATAGAATCATTGTATTAATTTTTTTCAAGATGTGAACTAAATAAAACAGATGAATCAGAAATAACAAATGCAAAAAAAATGATGAAACAAGAGAAAGAGAGAGTGAGAGAATACAGTGGAAAAGACACAAAAATTAGAATAAAGAAGACAATGACAATACAGGTGGCGACACACTGTGCGGTTAACCCAGTTGCTTAACTGGGTTATTTTTTTCCTGGTTGCACCATTATCTTTATCCGACGAAAGACACTATTGACAAAACGGGTTTTTTTTCTAAGCATCATTAGAGAACTTACGAGGTAACATTTTCAAGTAATCTCTAGGAGTTTTATTGCTAAAATATTGAATTTTTAGTAGGCTTGTCCCAGTTTTCAACCAATATCATACATTTGCATTTTGACCCAAAATTTTACTCACATAAAGACCCCGATTAGGCTAGCCTGTAGAAAAATTTTTATTCCAGTTAATTAACTCAAACTGTCGTTTGAAAAAAACAAAATTATTCTTATCTTATGAAAAATAAATATTGAAGTTTATAATAAAGTTTCTTGAATATGTTTGCTATTATGATTACTAATTATAAGTGTTTATATTTTTTTGTTTTCTTTCTCAACAAGTCTATAAGGTCAAATATAAAAGAATTGATAAGAAATAAACTAAATGCATACATCAGTACTTGTTTAAAAAAGATTATTTTCAAAAAAAAGTCGACATTATTTTATTTTATATTTTAGCATGAACCAATTGAACAATCACTTGAAGCATTTTTTAAACTTATTGAATTAACAACTCATACACCAGAATGGTTATTACAAGGATTAAAATCTAAACGACATGTTGATAATGAACGGCCACTAACATATGATGAACTTAGTTTTTTAAATGAAATGCGACATAAAGAAATAGTTCTTATGCGAGGTAGAATATAATTTTATTTCATCAAAAAAAAAGAGACAGTTTGTTTTTCAATTCTGTTTAAAGATATGTCATTACAACAAGAACGAAAATTACCAACAACAAAAACACTTCTACATAATCAACATGTTGCATTATCAATGCCATATGATCAATTACCAGCATTTTTACTTTCAGCTATGTATCAAAATTATCATATAACATGGTTTGATGTTGTTACTATTGATCGACAACATTATTTTACATTTATATGGAATGATAATCATTTATTTCAAAATCGTACATCAGTTATGTTTTATAATTTAAATCCAGCACAATTTAATGAATTAACATTAAAAATGAATCGTTATCAATTTGATTTAATACATTTTGATGTATATCGTCATTCAAATGAAAATATGCTTCGTTATATTTGTTTATATTTACGTCAAGATTTAACTAAATCATTTCATAAATTACGTACAGCTGTTATAGCAAATCGATGGTTGAATGAAAATAATCTTAATGCTATTAATATACGCCCACATTTATTATGTGGAAATTTATATTATTCTAATTTATTATCATCAAAAAGATCTAATCATAATAATCGTTATTATCGTATAAATTTAACTGATATTGAATTACTTGAAGAACATACAAAAGCATTAACAGATAATTATAAATTAATAGATTTAAAAGTATATCATTTAAATAATGGTGATTATAGATTTATAGCTATGTGGACAAATGAACAAGAAGGTTCATCCACTTTATATCTTGGTTTAACATATGATGAATTAGTTGAACGTTTAAATGAAAAACAATTACGTACAGCTATTATCACTAATTATGGCTTATTGGTTGATGGACAACAATGTTTTGCACTTGTTTGTAATCAATATGGTTCTGTTTGATGAAATATTTTATTTTATTTTTATAAACATATATGTTACAGGAAGAAATTAAAATAATGTTTTTCGATTTATATTTTCAAACAAAAATTAAAGATTTTAATATCGTTTAAAATGAATTGAAGGTGAAGTAGAGAATAGATCCTCTATACACTTCAAGGAAGAAACAGCAGACTTCCGTCTTGAAGTCCTACAACTTTCTTAGAATTCCTCTGCTACAGGCATGACAGACATTACCGTAGATAAATAACGTGTCGTTATAATATATAAACCACTTCCTTGTTGCATTTCTGGAGGATAAAGTAAAATGATGGTGAAGAAATGTGTTTCAAAAGAGATAGAATAAAACAATCCTCCTGTGATTAGCAAGAGCGGCTAAATCCTGTTTCCCATTTTAATCTTGCAGGGATTGCACTAACAGCTTTTAATGCATGTTGAAGTCTGTTATTTCCCTCGTGATCAATCCTCAAGAAAAACACTATTTTAATTTCTCCTAAGAGAATTTTAAGCTAACATAGATTTGAATTTCTTCTGTAACATATGTACAAAAAAATAAATAAATAAATAGAAAATAGATATTAGCGAAAATGAAAATGTAATTTTCAGGATGTCAAATTATTTTCTTTTGGGTTTTAGAAGCCTATCAATGATCAATAATAACTAAGATTCTCTTTCAACTTTAAATATCTTGAAGAGGCTCTGTTGTATTATATGTAAGCAACATCTATATTTGTTTGATTATTCGTACTACTTTCTTAAAGAAGTAAATGACTTATAAATTATTGACAAGATGCATTCATGTAATATACTCAAAAACACATGATACTCTATTTGAAAATATGCCAAACTTAAATTATTGAGCCAAATACTACGTATCTAGTGTAACTAACTTAACAACACGTTATAACATCGGTTAAAAACGAAATTTGAATGGAAAAAATATTTTAGTTCAATGTGAAAAAAATGAGTGGCAACATAATATTGATGTTTAGATATTAATTAGAACAGATTGCGAAAGAAATAATTTTCTTTATTATGCACGGTCATGTTTCAAAAGCTGGCCGAAAAAATAAAATTTGACTATCTTTTGAATTTTTTTAATTTATCTACAATCCAAGTTCTTCAAAATTATATTCGAAGTACTATCGATACACTATTTGTGTCTATAAAGATTAGTATAAAGCTATTTTTAGTAACTAACAAATTTGAATGGTCTATGGCTATGAAACTAAAATCACAAGCTGAATTCGAACTAATATAATTGTGGACATTTAAAAGTTTTATCTATTTGCTAGACTACTATTTTCTTCAACTTTCTGAATTACATTTTTGATTGAATACAGAGCAACATTTTTCTGCCATATTCGATTTTAAGTTTTACTGAGAAATCATTCAGAATTCTTAAGTGATTATTCATAAGGCTGTATTTGAGTGTTTACAAAAGAAACTACTTATTCGAAATTTGTCCAACAAAATTTTCAAACATTGATAAACAACTAGAAAATCCATTATTACGATAGCTTCAATTATTTGAGACCTATCTGTATTCAAATGATAAATTTTTAATAAAAATAACGAATGACGTCGATTAGGCTGTGAGTGTGCTGATAGGTTTTGGTGTGAAGACACGAATAATATCTGTAACAGAATTCAGATGCACACTTACCTACACCCTGTTACAGTGAGGAAAATGTTTTATTTTAGCGACAGATTCTGTAATTCTAGTAGAAACTCAATGAAATCGGATTTTTTCTTACAGAAACTGTTTTATCTTTTGTCAATATTGATTATTCTAATAAAACAAATCTATTTGATAATAAGGTTTTTCCTGAATTAGCACGTCATTATGAATTAGAATTTAATATGAATCTTATGTCTAAATATTTGACTTGCTGATGTTTTAATACATGTAGTAAAATAATAAAAGTTCAAGGAAGTATACAAGTCAAATGAGGATCACCTTTAAAAGACATTGTTGTATATTTTAAGAAACTCAGATATAGACAGATGAATAATTACATTATCCGCTAAGTCGCTCAACACACCTATTAGACACAAGTTTTTAATACTTTGATCTTATCAAAAAAAAAAAACTTGTTCTTAATCGAAATAATTCTTTATCAATTCTGTTCAAATATGTGCACTCCTGTCTGATACCAAATCTATCCTCATCTTAGAATAGAAACTAAGCGGGCTTTTAGTTTGCTTTAAAAGATGAAAGTTAGAAGGTTAGCTGCCATTGCGTCCAACTTGTATTTATCTTGTAGCTACGCTGTCATTAACTTACGAAACAGAAAAATGCTACACAATTGATATATTGAAATTTTCAAACTATGAGTCTCATTTACGGATAACTACAATAGTTAGCATGAAACCGAAGACTGATCGTGAATTCTGTCCGGATTCCTTACTACTCAGTAGACTAGTTAATGAGTTCTTTACACTATTTTTACCATCCACATATCCATATATGTCTTCAATACTTGAAACATCCTTATATGAATACGAGAAGTTATACTTAATACAATATTTAACCTGATAAGTTGTCGAGCTTTGCTGAATTTAAAAGAAACTCGTATTAGAATGTAACGATATGACGCTGTGAAGTGATTTCAAAATAAAAATTTGCACACAATCTAAAAGGGAAACAAAATATATTTGAATTATCTAACTAGTATTAATATAAAGTAAGCTATTCATTCCAAAATGATATTCTTCTTCTGGTGTGCGATCAAATATATATCTATGGTTCTATCTTTTGAAAGATTGTTTTCTTGTCACTTGTATTTATTCAAAAAAATAGATCAATGATTATGCTACTTCTGGAGGAAAATACAGGTAAAATAAGATAATATTTCGAGCAATAGCACAGAATATATGATTAAAATATATCATAGGATTTATACGAATTATAGGTGTCATCACATACCAGGTCTCTTCCTAACAGATGAATAGTTCAACTCTTATGAATGTTCTAACAATTGATATTAGACTAGTTCTCACTAATTTTGATTTCCGAACCCAATAAACGTACACTTTATATGAAGTATTATAAATTCTCAGCGAAGACTTTGCCAAATCTCTATTAAATTACTCAAAAATTAATATCATTTCGTTTCTTAACTGTTCATACACATCATGGAAGGAAACCTAACAGAATAATATAATCACATGTCTAATTCTTATTCCGCAGTTCTTCGATAATTATCTTTAAACAGTAAATATGCATGAGTACTATTCAGATTATGAAACAAATAAAGCGCAAACAGAACTATCAATCAATACTGAAAAGTAATGAGTTAATCTATTCATTTTCTTACGTTGTTTACTTTGCAATTTAATTACATACAACAAGCCTCTATTTGCCACAAAATAATGACCTTCGGACTGAGCTTCCATTCTGTAGGAGGCTTACCACAAACAGTGTAGCTAACGATGTGAAATACTCCCAAAAGCCATATTCCACGCTTCACAATTTTATGCCGCGTTCGTTGTTGACATTTGGATTGATGTATTTATCTTTTTGAACATAAAATATGTGTTTTATTTCTGCATCAATTTAGTATTTTTATTTTCTGTCGAACTATAAAATATCAATTTTTTAAATATATAGCGAAACATTGATTGTAACCCTACCCTATCACCAGAAAAGAGAGTGCAAAGCACTCAAAGACAACTTCAAGCTCTTTCAGATCATTCGCAAAAACCTGGAAAGTATATCGATTGAACTTCTAACTGCTTTTAGTCTAAAAAAGACTAAATGATTAAATTTGAGTGGAATTTTTCTTTGAACCCACCATTCCGCCTTCCGACCGAAGACACTATGGAAGTAAATAGCATCCCTTAAAATAGAAAGTGAGTTAAACAAAAATAGCTTCCATTTTAACAATTTCATACGGCGAACATAACTGTAGTGAAATGAATGGTATACATCTATTCAAACAAAGCTTCATATATTTTTCATCCAAAAAAGTGTTTTTTTTAGTTGTTCGCTTGAACAATATTTTTCTCAAAAATATATACAAGTGCTGAATCATCATACCAATTCTATTTCTACAATTAGCTTATCATTCGCACTAAGATAAAAAAATTTTTGCAACCTGGAGCAATTACGCAAATGAGCTGTAGGTGCTTCTTCACTACAAAAATGTTGGTTTTTCTCAACCTTCAACTTTTGGGATCTTCTCGAGCTTCTGATGGGAAAAAAGTTTTCTGTAGACATATTATTCATATATAGTCGAATTCATAGAATCAAGCTGCATCTGATCACACATAAAAATCAAAAACATCATAGCAGCTTGACTTTTCGTATTATATCTATCTTACGGAATTAAACATTGCATGAAGCAACAATTTATTTATTTTAAGAATCAAGTCTAAAATCGTTTGCGCTAATATTAATCGTATTATAACAATTTTATAATATTTTCATTATAGATTAACAATAATCGAGAATGAAACTAAATCCTTAACAGTAGAAGATAATCAATCATTTTGATATGATCTTTAAGAATGATTCTTATCAATTCATTTGTCTTTTGTCCTAATAAATATCTTTTTATGTTGTATGTGGACACTAGTTGAATATTCATTTCTCTCATCGAAGATATAACATATACATAGAAATAAATAATCTTCAGTGACAGACAAACAAAACATGTTTTTTCTTAATTATATGTCGGCAGAAGACAAACCTAATTCTTTCATTTACAATGTCTGATTTTCATGATATGAAATAGAATATCAATATTTACATATACACAAGCATATATTAACCGTATCATCGATAACATTCCGAGAAATTTTCTTATTTATTTGTTTTAGAAATCTAAATATTATTTCACTATTTATTATCTAAGAGAACAATCAAAAATAGGGGTGAGAAGTTATTGTTATTTTTTGTTATTAATACCAATAACCATAATAAAAAAAGTTATTGTTATCAATAACAAATAACAAAAAAGTTATTGTTATTAATAACAATAAAAAAAAAGTTGTTTGTT